CTATATACCGACAAACTCAACAGCAACAGCCCCAGTACTATAATAGAGCAGGCATTCCACCCAATAAACCTACATATAACAACCCACCACCAAGGCCAACACAGCCGAAACCACCGGTACCCATGGAGGTAGATCAATCGCAGCAGACAAGGAACGTAAATTACATGAATAGACCTAATAACAATAATGTCACATCGAAACGACCGCCACCCACGCAGTCACATCAGTACAACAAAAACTTTCCCAACAAAATTCAGAGGGTAAATCATATTTCCCAAACACTCGAGCCCACCACAATCGAAACTAGTGAATACAATGACAACGCCGACGCATACGACCCAGAGAATCAGGAACAATCATGGCAGGATTACTATAATGCTTACGAACAACAGGACCAACAATACCCCCAAGACGACGTCAACGAGTATGTAGACGTTAATTTTTTAGACTAACTTCATCGTCGCTTCCTTATTTTGAATGCAAAGCTAGCGACGGCAAAATTTTTAAATCCTCATTGACACCGGTTCGAATAAGAACTATATTCAGCCCTCCTTAGTTGCAAATCCTAAACCTAACGACAGTGTATTTTTTGCAAACTCCGTAAGCGGAAAAATAAGTATATCGCATCACACGGAACTTAACCTTTTTGGCCTCAAGAACAAGAAATTAAAGTTCTTTATCTTACCAACACTCAAATCCTTTCATGCTATCATAGGCAACGACAGTCTAAAACAACTTAAAGCTGTAATCTACACCTCAAACGACTACATGCTCATAGAAAATAAAATCAGAGTCCCCATCAAGCATCAAATATCCAAATCGGTAAATAATATAGAAATAAAAACAGGACATATGAATTCAGAGCAAAAAATCATTATCGAAAACCTAGTGCAACAAATTCCTACATTATTCGCCGAACCAGATAAAAAACTAACATATACCACAAGAATCGTTGGCGAAATCCGGATAACTAACGATTCCCCAATTTATACCAAATACTACCCCTATTCAATGTCTTTAAAAAATGAGGTTGAGAAGCAAGTCAACAACCTTATCGAGGACGGGATTATCCGACCATCCCATTCCCCCCTACAACTCGCCTGTCTGGATCGTGAATAAGAAACCAGACACC